CGGCTGTATGCTGTCAGTAACTGGGTTCATTGGCAATCAACCGTGAACAGAACAGATATTCTAAAAATAGAAACAGACTTGCTGTGTATAGTATTTAGACCAATCGAGTTTGTTGTTGAGGGCTCTATTCCCCGTTGAAATATTCGTTGACACATGCGTATAAAAGACCTTGAACCGGTCCTTGTCCTTGTCCTGGTAAAGTTAAGACAAATTCACGTGGCGCTAAACTTAGTTATTGGAAATGTCCTCTTTTTATTTCTCTACCTATTTTGTTGGCTGGGGGAGTGGGGGATTTTGTAGGGTGAGGTTCACTGCCCCAAAACAGATAGCTAAAATTAACTAAGATAGTAAAGACATTAAAGCACCACACAAGAAGCAGTGAATTACAGTATTTAAATCATTTCACAACGTTACACTATAGTGCCATCCAGTAGCGTACGCAGGGGGGGAGCAGGGGTTGCTTTGGTTGGTTTTGCGTTTGGATTTGGTTTGTTTTCGTTTGCTTTTTCGTTGTTTTTTTTGTGTTGGTATTGGTGTTTGTAGTTGGGTTTGTTGTTAGGTTTTTGTTTTCGTTTGCTTGTTTGTTTGTTTTTTCTTTGTGTTTGTATTGGTGTTTGTGGTTGTGGTTGGGTTTGTTGTTAGGTTTTTGTTTTCGTTTGTATTTGTAATTGTGTTAGCGTTATGTTTGCGTTTTGATGTTTTGGTTTTGGTTGGTTGTGGTTTGGGTGGGCAATGCCGGGTTTATGATGATTACTAAACACACAGGTAATGGTCTTTAACAGAAAGGTTTTTCACAGAAACCAGAGCAGGGCCTGTTCGGGACGGCTAGTATCTAATATATAAAGCTCAGTTCTGTTTGTAAAAATACATATGTTTGTCGTTGGTCTTGGATGGATTTAAGTGTTAGAGAATTATCGTGCGCATTTGTCTAAATTTATGAGTTAAAAAATTAATATTGAAAGTGTTGGGAAATAATTTTCATTTTTCAAATTATAGTAATAATTGTCGGCATGTTCATTAAACACAAGTTTAAAAAAAAAATATCATCTTTTACAAATATTCTAATTATGTCTTTATTTAGTCCTATAGCACTTACTTCCCTTTGATAAATTAGGAAAACACAATTACCTCCCTTTATAAAACCATTGCATTAGTTAGTGGAAAATAATTAACTTTTTATTACTTTGTTTTGGTGTTGGGAAAAAAAATAATTACATAATTAGCGGGGATTGATCAAGTGCAAATGTTGTAGGCATTTTACGGATAAGCTTGGAGTATTAAAATTGTTCATTAAATTGAAACAAGCGCGTTCGTTTAAGTGAGTGCAAAAGACTATGAATAAGTTGGGGTACTATAGTCGTTCATTAAGCTAAAACAGGTGATTCCGCCCCGGGCGTTTATGTTCGCGTTAGTGTTGTGGTTTCTTTGTGTTTAGGTGGGTTTGCGTTAGTGGTTGCGTTTTGATTTGGTTCGTTTTTTTTTCTTTCTTTTTTCGTTTTTGTTTGTGTTTTTTTCTTTGGGTTTGTATTTGTGATTTTGGTTGGTTTTGCGTTTGGATTTGGTTTGTTTTCGTTTGCTTTTTCGTTGTTTTTTTGTGTTGGTGTTGGTGTTTGTAGTTGGGTTTGTTGTTAGGTTTTTGTTTTCGTTTACTTTTTTGTTTGTTTTTTCTTTGTGTTTGTATTGGTGTTTGTGGTTGTGGTTGGGTTTGTTGTTAGGTTTTTGTTTTCGTTTGTATTTGTAATTGTGTTAGCGTTATGTTTGCGTTTTGTTGTTTTGGTTTTGGTTGGTTGTGGTTTGGGTGGGCAATGCCGGGTTTATGATGATTACTAAACACACAGGTGATGGTCTTTAACAGAAAGGTTTTTCACTGAAGCCAGAGCAGGGCCTGGCCGGGACGGCTAGTATATATATATATATTGTTTAGATTGATACAATTTTTGTTTTGTCGGCCTACATTGTGTGTTTTTTCTTATTTCTTCAGAGTGCTACTTTCAATTTATTTTATATAAATTATATATATATATATATATATATATATATATATATATATATATATATATATATAAAATACACGTATATGCATAACGTGTTAAAAATTCGGCGCCTTTTTTTGCTCTTTTCGCTCCCCCTACAACGAAAACCTGGATACGCCTCTGGTGCCATCGTTTTACTGTACATGTTTAATGTATAAGAACTAGATGGCCTCTACTTCGTGTGACGGACGGAGCCTCGTGTCTATTTTGTTTTAAGCGCACTCTCTATGTTGAATGGTGTTTTCCTATCAGCGCGTATTGATTTTCTGGTCAAACAACTTACACGGTTAATTTTATTCTTTCGAGACTCTATTGATCTTTTAGTACAACTACTTACACTCTTAGGTTTGAGCATAGCTGTGTTATGAATTTTAAATGTAAAACAAATGTATCATTTACTGATGTAAACAAAGAACGTCGTGTCAACTTCAGGGCCGTAGGGCGAGCTCAGAACATTGATTAAATTATTGTAAGTAAACCTACAGCACAACTCGACATACAGATCCTTCGATGATGTTTATATGTATATAACCTAAAGCTAACCCTAAAGCTCTTAATCATATCCACCAACGTCGCCATCCCTGTAAAAAATAACATGACCATCACTTTCTCAATCAGGCAAGATTAAGTTCGCCAGTACAATTGCGATCACCAACGCCAACACCATCACCAAACGCATTACCATCATCATTATTACCACCTCGAACACCATCACCATCGCCATCATTACGTTAAATATGTGTTCATTATGAAGGTAATTTAAAGCAGGTTACATCCTGTGGTTATATTGTCGGGGGGGGGGGGGATAATGTACAGTGGAACAATTAACCGGGATTAACAAATTAATCGTGTGTATGGCGGGTGGGATTTTGGGGTGGTTATGTTAAAGGTTAAATTGGGTGGGGGTTGGACTGATTCACAACTTGGGGAGGGGAGGGGGTAATATAATAAAGCAAGAGAGATGTAAAGTATCCCTTGTTAAGAAAAGTCTACCATTGGTAAAAAAAAATTTCTAAACTACAAATTTTTACGACATTTGAAAAAAAAGTCGTATAGGTTCTTAAAACATAACACGATTAAATTGTGTAACGCTGTTTGAAACAAACGAGTATGTGGTGATAATAAAACACAGACATCGTATTACAAATAATTTTTTTAACACGGAATTAAAATGCTATTTTCAAATCTGTTAAATATATGAATAAAATGTTTTACTACCTTCGTTGAAAGCCCTAACCTATGACAACTTAGATCCCATTTGGATCTATTTAGGGTCTTCATAAGAGGGTAGGTTCATATTATTTTTATTGAATTTATCACAGTAAAGATTTTAGTCCAGCTGTCTAATTACACGTGGGATAATTATTTTTAAGCGTAAACAGACTAGGGCAATATTTTTTATCGGATTCCAGTACAGCTACGAACCAGCTACGTACCAACTCAGCTACGTACCAACTCAGCTAGGTACCAACCCAGCTACGTACCAACCCAGCTACGTACCAACTCAGCTACGTACCAACTCAGCTAGGTACCAACTCAGCTAGGTACCAACCCAGCTACGTACTAAATACGTAACAAAAGCAAATTTAACTTTCGTTTTGGAAACGTTACCAATTTTGTTTCCTATCGATTATCTAATCAATATCTGGATGGTTTTTGTATTACGTTAGTGTTAGGCCTTGTCATGTCAGACCTACTTGAGATCATATCTCACTAAAAGTAGGTGAGTGTTGAAATAATAATAACGTAATGGCCAGACCTAGGGTAAAAACTTGGTTAGCTTAGGTGTCGTTATGGTCTGCGTAGGTTGCGCTTAGGATATTGCCATGTATGTAAACGTTGCCTTAAGCTGAAACGATATATTTTAACAGTTTTTAACGTTTTCTACCTACTATAGTTTAACATGTTAAGCGCCATACTGCTCGATGATTCAAACTTCAGCCTGTTGTGTTTTCTGTATTTTCTTCTATAGCCGATATCAAACCACGTGCAAACTCCGAGACAGCACCTGTTAACTTGATACGATTTCTTTGATGCTGTCCTCAGCTTACTCATTGGTCGAGTTGTCTGAAGACGGAAAGTTTGGAGTTAAACACTTAAAATCTTTTGTCAGCTCGACCACGCAGTTCACTTAATTGATCAGATTTATTCTTTTGTTAGGGCGAGGGATTAACCAACCAAGTTCTATTGCACGCTAAAATGTCAACGCCTTAAATTTCGTCGACTGGTATTTGCTAAAATTTAGAAGGGAAGTCAGGACTTCTTGTTTGGAATAATACATTTCAGCGCTAGATACCTGTAAACTACACAATTTTTACTTTCTCCAAGTAAAGAGAAACTATTCTAGTCGTGCAAAAATAATTGAGAGTTTTAGAAAACCTCAACGTTTTGCACCTCCCTGAAACGGAAAAACATAGTTTTGCTATTTTGTCCGTATGTCTGTGTGTGTATGTATGTATGGTTATATATAATGTTAACATTTTTCGGGCAAACGGCCTTCGGACAAGTGGCATTCGGATATTTGTTGCATTCGGGCAAATGTCCATTCGGGAAATCGGCTTTCGGGCCAACGGCATTCGGGCAAGTGTCTTTCGGGAAAACGCCCGGCCCCCAAATTATTGTAATGTAATACTTTTTCTCATAATAGGTTCTAGCACAAATATATTATTGACCGCTAAAAAAAGGAGTATTTTTAATTGAATACACCCCATCGGTACTCCAGTATGTGGACCAAAACCTTTATAATAACAGCGTGTGTAATAGCCCAAGGTTTGATATATTTCTTTCTAAATTGTAATTCATTTGTAATAAATGTAATGCAATCTTGAATAAAATCGTTAAAGAACAAAAGTAGATACAAAATGAATGGTCATATATATATATATATATATATATATATATATATATATATATATATATATATATATATATATATATATATATATATATATAACAAAATGTAGAAATATGGAATTTGTTTCTCTACCAAAAGCACAGCCAAGGGACCCTTTACAACTCACCCAGTATAAAGCTGTTGATGACACAAACGTGACCACGCTGTCCATCAATGTAGAGTTTGACCAAGTCAGTCTTTTGTCCTGCGCCTCACGTTGTTCAAGTTCCAACAAAACGTGCTACAGCTACATCTACAACAAAACCACAAGACATTGTAGTTTGGGTACCGGTAGTTTATATTTTGACATAGAAAACATTTTATAAATTACATAAAACATAACACCATCATACCCAATAAAAATATGATTTAACTTCGAATTTGACAATGTCAAATTGATTTTACGTAACAGGTTCCTGGCTAGTCCCATTAAAAACTTCACAACAAAAAGTTCAGGGAAAAATTTTCTCTAGCGGGAAGTTCTGTAACACAACCAGAAACATCAGAGTCCTGTCTAATGGTTCAATCTCTGATAGAGACTTAGATTTTTGTACAGGTACATAAAAACATAAATGTCTCTCTGTTTCTCAATTATTTATATGTGTATGTGTGTCTGTCTGTGTGTCTGTCTGTCTGATTTTCAGTGTGTTTGTGTGTGTGTGTGTTACCTTATTTTTATCTTTTAAACTATTTTCTTCTCTTTTATTATCTTTTAAAGTATTTTGTTTTTTTCTTTTATTATTTTTTCTTTTCTTTTCTCTTTTATTATCTTTTAAACAATTTGTTTCCTCCTTTATTATCTATTTAACTTTTCTTTCGCTTCTTTTTATTTATAATTTCTTTGTCTCATTACTTAATACACATTTTAAATACTTTGATAAATGGTAAATGTAAATAAACGGAAACAGATATTTCCCATAAATATTTACATGCTGTTTACAGAACAAAATGGTCTACTTTTAATTCCCCACCAGGTCAAACACCGCGGCAGATATCGTGTGTAGGAATATCAAGACAGGATCCCCGTTCTGTGGTAACCCTAAGCTCTGGACTTCAAGTCATGATAGACGATCAGACAGACGGTGGAGGATGGACCATTTTCCAAAGACGTGTTTCTGGGACTGTAGATTTTTACAGGAACTGGACAGAATACAAAAATGGTTTCGGTGATTTTATTTCAGGTAATTTTTACCTGGGTAATGAGAACATTTATCTCTTAACGTCAGACCGTCAAACAGAACTGAGAGTGGATATGATCTTTAACGGCACGAGTTATTGCGCCCAATACTCCAGCTTCAACATTTCTAGCGAGGCAGACGGCTACAGGCTACATGTTGGTGGCTACACAGGAGATGTCATCGACCAACTAGCCTACCACAATGGTGCGAAATTTTCAACATATGACCGGGATAATGACCAGTACCCCACTAACTGTGCCAATTATTGGCACGGGGCGTGGTGGTATATAAATTGCTATAACTGTAACCTAAATGGCTTATGGGGTGCAACAAACGAGTCTGGGATCACCTGGGAACCGATGAGTCAAGCATCATTTGTAGAAATGAAACTTAGAGATGTTTAAAGCGTAAACTAAATGTAAATGTGTCATCACTCACTTTTTTCCAATCGCCATAGAAACCTTTATGACACATCCTGCGACCAACAGTTGAGTATGAATGAACAATTACTGGCTGCTGTAATAGATTAAATGTGTTTAAGTATTATGTGTTTCTTTAATATTATATGGCAGTTGTTTTTGTCACCAGCGAGAGATTTTCTACTTTTTTCAACAGAATGTGATATGTTACTTAATGTTAAACTACAGGTTTTTTGTAAAGGGGAAAGTCATAACATTGAAGTGGTGATTGATGCGGGATAATGTAGTGGTGTGGTGAGGGTTGACTCTGGGTAGTTGTTAGTGTGTAAGGTTGCTGTGGTGTAAGGTTTAAGTAATTGTTAAGATATATGGAGTGAAGCATAGCTCCCAAAGGAGGTTACACAGCGTATTTTTTATCACAAAAATGTTCTCACAGATAATTACTTGCACCGAGAATTTTATCGTTCCCTTTTGTACACACTTTTATTCTAATATTTAAAAATCTAATTCAGTTTAAAATTGGCTCGAAATTCTACAACACGTATGATGAATTTTAACGAATTTTTATTGGAGATGAAAAGTTAAATAAACAAAGCATGAATAATGCATTTGAAGAGTTAATTAAATTTCAAAATAAAACTGATTTATAGAAAACTTCGAAATGTATTATTTTAATCGTTGTCTAGTTTCTTATACACCTTTTCTGCCGGGCTCTCTATTATTGTATATGTTTTACTCACGTATATAAACTGTTCGGTCGTGGATCCAAACAGTGATAATTACACGAGCACTTCATGACTCTGTGTGTCACGCACTCCATGTCTCTGTGTCACGCACAATTTCGACACAAGACTTTAATAGTATTTTAAATAGAATCATTTAACTTTCAAAAAAGTATAATTATTCGTGTTATTTTTTTATTAAAAAATATATCACTATTAACACATGCTTATTAAAATTGTGTGAAAAATGTTTTCCAAACGAATTTTAATTTACATTTTTCAATATATGTATATCTTTTTTTTTCGTTTTATTGAAATATTAAAGAGAAAAGCATGTAACAAAACTAAATATTACGTGTTACACAAAATGTGTTTTTGACCTTTCGAGACGACCTAGCTCTAATATGTGCCCGGCACGTAAAAGTCAACTGAGGCAGCTACGCATTTTATCCGTTCACATGTCGAGGTCACTAAAACAGATCAATTCTACTTCACCTGACACATGGGCCGTAGGTTTCAAAGGTTACTTTACTTTTTACTTTCTCGTAAATACGAAGTATAGAGAAAGTATTGTAATCGTGCAAAAAAGAAATTGAGATTTTTACAAATCTCGACGTTTTACACCTCACTGATACGGAAAAACATAATTTTGCAATCTTGTCCGTATGTCTGTGTGTCTGTTTGTGTGTGTGTGTGTAAACACGATAATTTGAGTACCGTTACAGCGAGGTTGATGAAATTTCATATATAAGTATTTTTTTTTTAAAAATCGTAGATCTTGATCAACTTTTGAGCGATTTCCAAAAACCGGAAGTGGTACTTTTTCTACTTTGAATTTTTCAAAAGCCTATAACTTGAGTACTATTTCAGATAGATAAATGAAATGTCACATGTAATTGAAAGATCTAATTGTCTACCATCTGTCAAATTGTGAGCAATTTTCGTTGATCGGAAGTACTAATTTACGCTATTTCCGATTTCTCAAAAAACGCATGTAAATTTATAAACTACAAATAATATTGCGCACTAGTATGATTATCTTTATTTAGCGTTCACTTGGTGTGCAATTATTTTTTTTACAAGATGTTATTCTATTTATAAAAGGTTAAGTATTTAAAATGGATTAAAAGTCGTGCCTATATCGCGAGTTGCCATCCCCTGTTGTTTCATATAAAAATATTCGAGGAAGTTTAGGGGAGATCACTCCCGGTTTATTTTAAGAAGGAAGAGATCTAAACATATTGTGTCAACGGCCTGACATAGCATTTTAAGATCACAATTAATAAGTTATGCTAGTTGACTACCACACAAGTAACGTCTGAATAATTAATGTTTATGCGACCAAACGGGCAACTTATTTTATATATATATATATATATTTCAGTTTGATTAGCAACAATATATATATATATATATATATATATATATATATATATATACAATTTAAAATATTAAACAAACGAAACACTATATAATAGATGTTAGGAACTATTGTAATGGCCAAGTTAATGCAATACTACGTGCTAGGGTCTACAAGAATTTGTTTGGATTCCAAAATTTAGGAGGAAATATAGAATAAATGGCATTTTTATGGATAATTAAACACTAGGTATGAACGTGATTCGAAATGCCCATGAATCACGGTGCTTAATTTATTCATATAAACTCCGTTGTTTGCTTAAATTAAACAATAGAATGTTTGAATGCAGGCACTGGTAAGGGTCACGTCAGATGTGTGATCTGGCTTTATTATTAAGACAGGTCGCTAGGCCTGTAACGTAAGCAACGGAATGTTGACACGGCTAGTGTCAAGGTGCGGTACACTAATCTGCGCACGTCACTATCACCTACAAAAATTCATCGGCCATTGTAGGAACACTACAGGGATACATTTTGTTAACGTGGGCATTCAAGCGTTCTCAAAATATGTATCCTGTATACATATATAAACACATACCCTGAAACACTCACACTCTGATACACACACACACACTAGAAAACAGACACTATAAAACACAAACACTATAAAACACACACACACACATTCTAAAACACACACACCTCACACTAAAACAAACACCACGAAACAGAAACACATAAACACATACACAGAACCACACGTACATAAAAGAACGCTTACACGCACCGTCTCACCCATACAAAGCTCTCCTACAGCGAGACACCAATACATAACCTAACACAGTCCCGACCTTCAAGTTTTTAAACGAATGTCTAACCAAATCAGCACATAGAGAATATAACAAGAAACTAAATAAAAGAATCATGTCGGTAGGAAACTAAGCGCGTGTCCTTATACTCCATGAAAACATTTATGAAAATAATTGGGGAATATAATAATACAACCATAAAGTCAGAAATTGTCAAAATTGAGAGTCAGTTATTGTTTTTAATTCGACAGGCCCTATTTAATTGTATTTCCTCCAATCTTTACGTTCTAAAATCTATTCCTCACGTGAAGAGTGTTGCTTTTCAACCCAAACTATGTTTGTGGCTATGTAAAAAATCAACATCTGTCCTTTGCTATTTTAATACTACAACGTGGCTAAAGAAATGTAATCGAATGCAAACTCTCATGGGTAACAACAGTAATCTCCCTTTCCATTTAAATATTTGTTATGTTGCAATTACATTTTAATGAAAAACCCTATTCTACCTACGCCGTCCAATAGATTGTGTAGTTGTGACCTAGAGGTAGAGAACAAACCTGCTAACACGAAAGTCTTGAGTTATAAACCGGGTTCAGTTAGTTCTATGGGTACCTAACTCACGTCTGGGAGAGAAAAGGCGGCTGGGCATAGTGTTGATTACACTATCCATTCATATGCCGGGGTCTCTGAAGCAGATAATATCTACTTCTTCTGCCACATGTGTCTTAGGCACGAACGGGCAAATATAATGACGCTAAACTATTACGCTAGACAGGAGTTGTATCCAAAACGTAACATTATGCGGCTGTATGCTATCAGAAACAGACTTGCCGCGCGTTGGTATCTAGACCAATCGAGTTTGTTGTTGAGGGTTCTATTCCGAAATGAAATATTTGCTGACTAGTGCGTACTAGAAACCTGTAGCAGGTCCATTTCCTGGTAAAGTTAAGACAAAATCCACGTGGAGCTTGACTGAGTTATTGGAAATGTCCTCAGTCAATATATGAACTTCATTTAAGAAATGTGTGTATTTTTTGTTTCCGTGTTCAGTATTGTATCGATCCTCTTCTGGTTAAGTAACAGTTTGTTGAAGTTTTGCGAATTTAATTTAAATTTTAAAAGACATTAACGTTTAAAGGTAAAATTATAAATGTTTGATAACAGACCTTTATAAGTACAATTTGACATATAGTACTAAGTCCTACTGTCCTTTAAAAATTAAGGGTGCACTTTTACCCAGACAATGGATAATCGATGAATTAAAGCGCCAAAAAAAAAGAAGGATTATACTTATACACATACAGTTTTTACCTTACTAGTTAGATTTAAGGAGCTATAAAACAACATATGCATAAAGGTAACCGTATGATCCCGTTTTTTTAAAAATATTTTGACCTAATTTTTTAACATTCGAAATGTTGTAGTTCACCAAAATGGGGACCTTTCTTGCTGAAAATTAGCAAGGCGATGCATTGCAAGTTATCCTTGATTGGAACTACCGGATTTTTTTTACTTTACTGTGGCCTGTGATCAGATAATTTGAAAATGAACTGGTATTTTGATTGTCTGGCTCCATTTGTACCATTTTGTTTTGTATTTAAGGTTGACATTGAGGAAGAGACAATTCAAATTTAATTGGATCTAGCCCTTATCTTTCTACATACGCTTCTTTCGCAACTTAGCTCCTTTTTTCTGTCAAAGATAATGAAATGATAAAATGTAAAAGGGTTGATATTCACTGCAAAAAAAAATTGACATAATAGAATTTCAATCATACCCAACTGGAGTTACCTTAAATGTTATTTTGAGTTTTAAATATTGTACGTACGGTTTTAAAAAAACATTGTTTACCATAGATTAAAAATCTTTATGTTTTTAAAATGTTTATTATTAGCACTATAAAAAATTGACTGTAGGCCTAAGTCAGATAATTTTTTGTTGATTTTTTTTGTTTCACTCCCTTAGTCTGAATGATAATGCCCTCTTAAATAATACTCACGAACCCGAAACAGATTTGTTAATGCAAGATTTCTTTGCTTATGTGACTACGTGAAAGATAGCCTATTATAATTGGCTAACATAATATGTGGCGAAA